TGTCAAGGGCAGTGCCTCCCCTTACATAATATGTATCTACGGTATCATGTAGTCCTCGTTTATTAATTGCTTTCATGATAGAATCACCGATAATGAGCGTTTTTGTACGTTTTGGACTTGTTGATTTTTCTGAAATTGGTGTCTTTATCTGAGTGTCTTCCGGTTTAACAAGGGTATCCCTCTCTACAGTATGCCTATCACTTGATTTCTGGTTTATATCCTTTCTTTGTACCGATTTTAAGCAATCAAAAAATGACTGAAGTTTAATACTAACAAAAATAAAAAATATGGGTTGCATAAGGTGATAAAATATAGAATGACTAAAACTTTTTGTGAAGAATATTTTCAACGTGATCTTTTAACATCTGGTATAGATATAACAGAAACAATTACAAATCCAAATAAATATTTAGATTTCTTTTACTTTATTTTAAATGAAGTATTAGCAAAACATGCGCCAATGAAAGAAAAACGCGTAATACGGGAGCACCAACCTGACTGGTTTACAGATGAAATTAAAAAAAAAAACGATAAATTTGCGCAATAAGTGTCATAATAAAGGAGATGTCGATCAGTACAAAATATTAAGAAACAGAGATACTCCGTTAATTAGAATGGCTAAGAACAATTTCTCTGATAATGCTATTGAAGAGAATAGGGACTCAAAGTATGTAAAGAAGCTTCTAACATCAATCAAACTAAACGGATAACACTTCCGTCTAAAATAGAAAAAAATATGGAGTAATTGAGAATGAATTAGAAATTATCAATGAACAAAATAAACATTTTATCAAATTTTCAAATATAATTACCAAAACCACTTTTTCTGAAAACAATTTTTCCACTTTAAAAGAAAAAATGGATACATTGCTAAGCTCTCGCGTATTTGATATTCCTTATTTAACGACCATAGAAGTAAAGCAAATTATTTAAAAATTAAACACAAATAAATCTACAGGCCTTGATGGTATTGGCCCCGCAATTTAAAAAGTTCTTGGGTTACTATTATTCCTTGCATAACATCTATATAAATAATAGCATTCATTTGGGTATTTTTCCTGATAAACTTAATTAAGGAAGCTCGTGTCTTGCCTGTGTTTGAACCAGGAAGTAGAGACTTTTCTGAAAATTATCGCCCATTTTCAAGTCTACCCACCATCTCAAAAATATTTGAACGACATATTGTGTCACATCTTCAGACATTTTTTTCAAAATACAAAAATTATACATGACAGACATTCAGGGTTTCGAAAAAAACATTCTTGTAATACAGCATTACTTAGATTAATTGATGCCTGGATCAAAGATATTGATAATGGTAAAATGATACAATGTAGGTGCTATTTTCCTTGATTTAAGAAAAGCGTTTGATCTTGTCGATCATGAAATTTTGATACACAAATTGAAATTATATTATTTTTCTGAAAAAGCTGTAACTTTTTTCGTTCCTATTTATCAAGCAGAAAACAGACAGTTCAAGTAGGTAATTTAAAATCTGTCATTTTACTGGTAAAATCAGGAGTTCTCCAAGGATTCATTCTTGGGACCTTACTATTTTTGATTTATATAAATGATATTATATATGTTATTTTGGTTTTGGAGTGTTATATGTGGATATATTACCTGTCAAGATTTCATATCACCCGAGCCGTTAGGCGAGAGTGATATTTTACCTTGGCAGGTAATATATCCACATATATCACTCCAAAACCAAAATAATAATTTTATTACCCTTCCCCTGCCGAGTTAAGACGATTTTAATATAAATCATTGCTACTTCAAATGAAACGTCGAAATAAGATTCCCTTTAGGGTACCCCTTCACCACAAAATGACGTCACATAAATACATGACGTTTTTTCTTTCGAACCTAACGAATGTAAACAAGAGAAAAGGAGTAGTCTGATTGACGCACTTTTTTGGAATTAATATCAAGCTTTCACAAGGTCATATTTGTTTTCAATACTGATGAGAATATGTATCATTACTCTATTTTGGTGAATATTTATCACTTGACAGTCAAAAAGTGCTTGTAAATCGGAATTTACATCGCGTAAAATCAAACTGTACGCGCATCACCTCAGCGCATGTTGTTTAGAACGTGGGGTACACAACGGGGAAATTTTGTGTGTATATTACCCGTCTGGCTCGGTTATATCAATTTCTTTCGGGTGATCAATATCCAATCAAAAAGGCGGAAAAAATCTGGAAGGGTAATAAAGACTTGTATGCGGATGACTCTACACTTTACCAATCCGGTGACTGTTTACTGGAAATACATGAAAATTTACAAAAAGATTTAAATTATTTAAATGATCGGTGTATCCTTAATAATATGTCTTTTCACTCAATAAAAACAAAATGCATGATAATTGGTTCTTCAAAAAAGGTGAAGAAATGTAATCCTCTCCTACTGAAAGTAAATGATACAACTCTTGAAAATGTTACAGTTCTAAAGTTGTTGGGCATTTATGTAGATAATACATTAAACTGTCATTATCAAATGGCTTTGTTTGCAAAAAAAACTAAATAAAAAAATTGCCCTCTTCAGACATATCATTTTAGCTCGACTGTTTTTTAAAAAGAAGTAGAGGTATTGTTATAGTCCTGACGGCGTTGCCGTTGCCGATGCCGTTGCCGTTGCCATCCGCAAACTTGTACCTGGTTCATAACTTTTTTAGTTCTTGGTGTATTGTCTTCATACTTGGCCACAACAACCCTTGGGACAAGACCTTTCAGTAGACCACACTAACCTTGACCTTCATCCATAAATGACCTCGACCTTCAAGGTCAAAAGTCCAAATTTTGCTTGTTCTTGCTATTATTGGCTGTAACTTTGTTATTTTTGAATGGATTGTCTTCAAACTTGAACATAACAATCTTCAGGGATAACCCTTAAAAATAACCAGACAGACCTTGACCTTTACTCATAAATGAGCTTGACTTTGAAGGTCAAATTATTGAAATTTTCATTTTTTTGGCTGTAACTGGCTGTAACTTTGCTATTATGGAATGGATCAACTTCATATTATAACAGAATATTCTTAAGGACAAGGCCTTCATGTTTATCAAACTCAAATTTACTTGGGCTCTTTAATGACCTTGACCTTGAAGGTTAAATTACAGAATTTTCACAGATTTGTGCATTAAATGACCATATATCTTTATTGGTGTTATATATATATATATATATATATATATATATATATATATATATATATATATATATATATATATAAAATGCTTAAAAAAATAAATGCGCCTGTATACATACATACATACATACATTCAATTCATTCATATATAAATGCGTATATATTTAAATATCAGAAAATACAAAAAGATATATTACAACGCGTACATCCTTCCTGTGCTTGATTATTGTTGTACAGTATGGGGAAAGGACACATACTCATACATCAATAAAGTAAACTCAATTGGAAAAAAAGCTGCAAAAATTATACTTAATAGACCGATACGTTTCCAAACATTAGATCTTTTTAATAAACTTAAATGGCTGAAATTCAATTTCAGAGTGAAATACCACACAGCAATTATGGTGTATAAATCTTTAAACAATCTGGCACCGTGATATATGAGTGAAATTATTAGTTTCTCTCACAATGAATTACATAATTTACGCTCAATCGCTCCATAAAGATCTCGTTCTGAAAAGTATACCTCATACAAATTATTAAAATGATTCTTTTTCTTATTTCAGTATTGAAGTTTGGAATAAATTACCTATTACTATCAATTATATATTAAACAATGTTCGACTTTACAATCTTTCAAAAACAACTGTAAAATTTATTTTCTAAGTTTACAGTTAGATACATGCGGAAGCGTCCTGGTGCCAATTTAACATGTTCTATAAAAAAAAAGATAACTCCTACGTAGGACTTTGCAACTCCTACGCAGGAGATAAAAAAGCTTAATTAGGAGTTTATAACTCCTACGTAGGAGTTTTTAAGTCCTACGTAGGACTTTATAACTCCTACGTAGGAGATATAAAAACCTAATTAGGAGTTTTAAAGTCCTACGTAGGACTTACAAACTCCTACGTAGGACTTTATAACTCCTACGTAGGAGTTAAAAAAGCCTAATTAGGAGTTTATAACTCCTACGTAGGACTTTATAAGTCCCATGTAGGACTTTATAACTCCTACGTAGGAGATAAAAAAAACCTAATTAGAAGTTTATAACTCATACGTAGGACTTTAAAACTCCTGCGTAGAGGAACACTCATAAACTCCTGCGTAGGACTTTAAAACTACTAATTAGGTTTTTTTATCTCCTACGTAGGAGTTATTAAGTCCTACGTAGAACTTATAAAGTCCTACGTAGGAGTTACAACTTCCTAATTAGGCATTTTTAACTCCTATGTAGAAGTTATTAACTCCTAATTGGGCTTTTTTTATCTTTTACGTAGGAGTTATAAAGTCCTACGTAGGAGTTGCAAAGTCCTACGTAGGAGTTATCTTTTTTTTATAGAACATGTTAAATTGGCACAAGGACGCTTCCGTAGATACATGATGAAATTGATCACTTTATATTAATTGTTGTTATCTATAATTATTATAATTAATATGAGTGTCAGTCGGATGAATGAATAAAAAATATCTAACCTTTACATTCAAGAATATAAATAATATAAATAATTCTTTTTATACCAAAAGATTTTAAATATTTGTATAGATCTACATTTTTGTCTTTGTTATTGTTAAATCAGAAGGCCATACTGAAAATAAGTATACTTCATACTGTGAACTTTGTATGTTACCTTCTATAAATAAAGATATTATTATTATTATTATTATTATTATTATTATTATTATTATTATTATTATATCAATATTAGTAATTGCTAACAGTTATGTAAACTTCTTTTACAAAAATAAAAATCAGTTTGCACTTGTTAAATATTAAGTGTGATTGAACTTTATATCAATACTACCTCATTATCACAAATTTATATTAATTATACTCTGTATGTTGTAGAATTACCTGGCTTTACTGGAGAGAAACTTGTGATCGACAAAGCTTTGCGCAATAATTCTGGTCTATATAGATGCGAGGCAAAAAACGGCATTGATCCGTCGAATTCGGAAATTATTACAGTTAACGTTCTTTGTAAGTTGATGTATACAAATATATTGTCTGCTAGATTTATAACACGGACCTTACAATACATATATAAAATATAAGCAATTTCTAACGTTATGACTACGTATATCTGCTAGAATAAGTGGATTCAATCAAGATAAAGATAGATAATATGTATAGTATGAATGTTCAGTATGTGTGTTGAGATAGATGTTAAAATTGTGATGACCATTTAATCATTTCTTTTACACGTTATATTTTCTTCGATTGATAATTATTCGTGTGTGTGTGTGTGTGCGCGCGTGTATGTGCGTGCGTGTATGTGTGCGTGCGTGTATGTGTGCGTGCGTGCGCGTGTGTGTGTGTTTTTGTCTTGTTACGCCACCGCAGCATCTGCGATGCGATGGCATATAGCGATTCACCTGTGTGTGTGTGTGTGTGTGTGTGTGTGTGTGTGTGCGTGTGCGTGTGCGTGTGCGTGTGCGTGTGTTTGTATGTTTGTATGTTCTATAGATTATATAGTGAACTTAAAAATCTTCTTGTGAAAAACCACTAGTCCAATTTCAACCAAACTTGGCAGGATTGATCCTTGGGTGAAGGGCTTCCAAATTTGTTCAAAGAATTTCATTCCATGTAGAAATCTGGTTGCCATGGCAACCAAAAGGAATTATAAGAATAAATTAAAAAAATCTTCTTGTAAAGACCCACAAGGCCTAGAGCATAGATATTTTGCATAAGGCATTGTCTGGTAGACCTCTACCAAGATTGTTCAAATTATAGCCCTTGGGTCAAAATTGGCCCCGCCCCGGGGGTCATTGATTTTCACTATATGTACATATAGTAAAAACTTAAAATACCTTCTTGTCTGAAGGTACAAGGCTTAGAGCTTTGATATTTGGTATATGATATCATCTATAGGTACTCTACCAAAGTTGTTCAAATTTTGCCTCTAGTGTCAAAATGACCCCGCCCCGGGGGTCATAGGTTTTCCTTATATGTATATAGTAAAAAATAAAAAAAAATCATTTCCTCTAAATTAACAAAGGCTAGAGGTAAGATATTTTGCAAGAAACATTGTGTAGTGAACCTCTAGCAAGATTGTTCAAATTATAGCCCTGGGTTAAAAATTGGCCCCGCCCTGGGGGTCATTAATTTTCAGTCACTATGTCATATATAGTAACTTGTCTGAAGGTACAAAACTTTGAGCTTTGATATTTTGTATATAATATCATCTATGGGTCCTCTACCAAAGTTGTTTAAATTATGCCCCTAGTGTTAAAATTTCCCTGCCCCAGAGGCAATAGTTTTCCTTATATGTATATGTATATATAGCTAATGCCAGCTATGAAATTTGAACCATGTGCACAGATTAAGATGTAAAGTGAACTTTGATATCAGCTGGCCTAGATTTTGACAAAGTGTCTTACTGTGTTGTCCTTTGATGTACCGTCATGGAATTTAGGCCATGTGAAATATGACCTTCACCACCAAATTCACTAGACTCAACTGCATTGATAGATTCCTACTCTAATTTTTTATTTGAATAATAATAGATTCAACCACTAATTTGATAATAACAATTAAATAGGTCAGTGATCTATATATTATGGCAATCGTCAATTGTATAGAAACAAAAAAAAATGTGTTCCAGTTTTGTATAAATGCGGTGGCATAGCATTTTTCACAAATGCAATCTTGTTTTTTTTTTGTTCAACTTAGAAGGCCGCATTGTAAATAAGGTGTTACAATCTGTATATGTCTTAATGTGTTACGAAATAAAGTTATTATTACTATTATTATTATTACTATTATTATTATTATTATTATTATTATAGATATTGAAAAGCTGCCACGTGAATTTTAGTTCTGAAGAACATACGACGTTGTATTTCTGAATAAGTAATAGATAGAGGATATTGAATGAGTGTAAGTTTAATACTGAATTTATTGAACAAGTTGAATAATATTATATTATGTGAGCCTCTGGCGCATGTAACATTATTTTATTCAACGAGTTCAATAACTTTAGTATTAAACATACACAAATTTAGTATTCTATTTATCACATACCAAAACTAAAGACCGTTGGAAGTGGAAAAGACCCATTTTTCATTGACGCGCCTATTGTATAACGCTAATTTTACGGGGTCGTAAAAGCTGCACGGGTTTGTAATAAAGACATTTATCACATGCCCCTGCCGATTTTGCAAACCGTAAAAACGGTATTGCATGTTCGTGCATATATTTTGACGTGTCGTCATGTGCGTTGTACACACATAGTGTAAAGACGCGCTAAATGTTAGCGTTACACTATAGGCACGTCATTGAACAAGAGCCACCGCCGGGCGGGGGCAACGCCCGACTTTTTACTTTTTCTAAAAGCAAATAAATATATATATAAAAAGTCGAGCTAAAAATGATTCATTTTCAATATTTAGGATATGTGATAAATAGAATATTATATTCGTGAAAGTTCAATACTGAATTTATTGAACTCGTTAAATAAAATAATGTTATGCTCGCCAGAGGCTCGCATAATATAACTTTATTCAACTCATTCAATAAATTCAGTATAATAAAGCGCGTTTCGATGATAATTATACATGTTGAAAAATATATCAATCATATATAAATCGACTTTAAAATCATTCAGTAAAATGAAGAACTCAGTAAATTTAACCAGCTACTACTTAGCTTGTTACTTGTATACATTCTTATATCAAAGGTTATAACGAAATACTAAATTCTTATTATTGAATGCGAGGTCATCAAAGGGCCGAAAAGGTTGAATTCTAGTGGATTGTCGCGGTAATCTGAAACAATTAGGAATTCCGCGAATTTAGTGGATTCTTGCTAGTATCTAGATCAATGGAATCTTAATTTCTTAATCTAAATTGTTGGATGTTCATGGTCGTGTGTTTCGATGGATTTTACTCATAGTTATCTGTTCCATGTGGGATCTTATTGATATCTTATTTTACACTTTCATGACTGAACAAGAAAAATGAAATGTTACGATAAGCATCAACAATGTTACCTTTTAAACTGCAATATGATTGTATTACTGCAATACCATCCCGTGCGCTTCACTGTGTAGAGAACCGAAATATATTATTGTTCTACTTTTTAAAAGCATGTGAAAGATTGCGTGTATGTTTTATTTTTCTTATTTTCGGAGAAATAATATTCAACAATTGATGCTTGATTATTTTTGAAGGATATGTGTGACTATACATGTGTTATAATTTATTTCAGATTCACCGACCGTACTGGTGGCTACAAGTCGTATAAGTCAGTATAGATTTAAATCTATTGTTCTAAATTGTAATGTATTAGCAAACCCTACTGCTACCATCTCATGGATTAAGAATGGACAATATCTACACGATAACTGGAAATACAAACAAATGGTATTTTTCGTGTTTTGATTTATTAATCGCGTGGCTTTGAGCTTTTTCTTTGTTCTTTCTAACCCATTATACTCGGTACACTTTCAACTGTATTGATATATAGCAGTACAGTTTTTATCCCCCGCCGATGGAATCGGGAGGGGGATATAGTTTTGACGTTGTCCGTCCGTCCGTCCGCACTCACAGGAGAGTAATTATGTGGCTAGAGGGACAATAGGTAACTGTTCTTTCTCTTTGATGTCATTCATTCCGTAATGCTTTTATGTGGCTATTTTCTTTTGTGTGGCTAAAAAAACAATAGAGAGAACAATAGAGTAGCCACATAATTACTGTCCTGTGAGAACTTCCGTCCGTCCATCCGTCCGTCCGAATTTCGTTTCCGGACTAGTCCTCTGCAACTACTGGCTGGAATTCAGCGAAACTTTATGGGAATCATCAATATCAAGAGGAGATGCGCATATCGTCGGCTTGTTCCGGTCAGACCCTTTAACTCAGAGTTATGGCCCTTGATTAGTAATGTAGTATGCATATAGAGTAAAAATCGTTTCCGCACTACTTCTCTGCAACTGCTGGCTGGAATTCAACAAAACTTTATGGGAACCTTCAATGCCAAGAGGAGATGCGCATATCATCGGCTTGTTCCGGTCAGACACTTTAACTTAGAGTTATGGCCCTTGATTAATTATGCAGTATGCATATGGAGAAAAAATCGTTTCCGCGCTACTTCTCTTCAACTACTGGCTGGAATTCAACGAAACTTCATGGGAACTTTCAATACCAAGAGGAGATGCGCATATCGTCGGTTTGTTCCGGTCAGACACTTTAACTCAGAGTTATGGCCCTTGATTAGTTATGCAGTATGCATATAGAGTAAAAATCGTTTCCGCGCTACTTCTCTGCAACTACTGGCTGGAATTCAACGAAACTTTATGGGAATCTTCAATACCAAGAGGAGATGCGCATATCGTCGCCTTGTTCCGGTCAGACACTTTAACTCAGAGTTATGGCCCTTGATTAGTTATGCAGTATGCATATAGAGCAAAAATCGTTTCCGCGCTACTTCTCTGCAACTACTGGCTGGAATTCAACGAAACTTTATGGGAACCTTCAATACCAAGAGGAGATGCGCATATCGTCGCCTTGTTCCGGTCAGACACTTTAACTCAGAGTTATGGCCCTTGATTAGTTATGCAGTATGCATATAGAGCAAAAATCGTTACCGCGCTACTTCTCTGCAACTACTGGCTGGAATTCAATGAAACTTTATGGGAACCTTCAATACCAAGAGAAGATGCGCATATCATTGCCTTGTTGGGGTCAGACACTTTAACTCAGAGTTATGGCCCTTGATTAGTTATGCAGTATGCATATAGAAAAATATTCGTTTCCTCGCTACTTCTCTGTAACTACTGGCTGGAATTCAATAAAACTTTATTGGAACCTTCAATACCAAGAGGAGATGCGCATATTGTCGCCTTGTTCGGGTCAGACATTTTAACTAAGAGTTATGACCCTAGATAACTTAGGCAGTATACAACCAGAGCAATAATCGTTTCCGTGCTACTCTGTAACTACTGGCTGGAATTCAATGAAACTTTATGGGATACTAAGAGTAGATGTGCATATAGTCGCCTTGTTCCGGTCAGATACTTATAACTCAGATTTATGGCCCTTGATTAGTTATGCAGTATGCATACATCTCATTGGCATTTCCAGATATTACTTTTTAACACAAAGTTATGGCTCTGTTATTGCCCTGAATATTTTTCAAGTTCAAAGAATATTTAACTGTTTATGCCATGCTTTATATATAAATAAAGCCTTATGTCTTCAGTTGTTGTGTTAATAATAACCAGTACTCGGCGGGGGATATAAATTCAACGAATTTGCTTGTTTCACTTGATTCATATATAAAAAAAACTCAATTGATATATAGCAGTTGAGTTTTTTCGCACCTGCTATATATCGGTTGAGTTTTTTCGGAGAATCACAGAGGGCAAAGGGTCAAAGGGGTCATTGGGTAACACATTCAAAATAAAAACAAAATAAGAAAAAAAATAAACAAGAGCAGGATAAACCGGGAGATGCTCCCCGAACAGGTTTTGGACACAGAGATGATATCTCTTGTAGTCCCAGACAAAGTTCACAATGTAAAAATGAACAAAGGACAATAACTCCAAAATTAGGCAAGGCAGAGTAACGTTTTTTTTTTGCAAAGCACATCTACTTAATGAGATCAATCTACCTACAAAGATTCTTGTTAATACTTCAGAGTTATGTTACTGACAAAGTTCAAAATGTAAAAATGAACAAAGGTCAATAACTCCAAAATTTGACATGGCATAGTTACGGTTCTTTTACATGGCACATTTACCCAGTGAGATGTACCTACCTACAACGTTTCCTGTTGATATCGCATATAGTTTAAGAGTTATGTCCCAGACAGAGATCACAGTGTAAAATTTGAATGAAGGGCAAATGACTCCAAAATTAGGCAATGCAGAGTTACGGTTCTATTGCACTGCAAAATCTACCCAATGAGAAATATCTACCTACAAAATTTCTTGATATATCCTAATTGTTGTATTCCTTTTTTGACAACATCGAAAACAACTTTAAACGGCTGCGCTCACTGACTTAATATATATAGCTAGCTGCGAGGTCTCGTAGACGGCATTAGCTAGTTTTGGTTCTTTTTATCTAGGGTTTCCATTTGAAACAAAAGTGAAGGGGGGACTAGAGAGGGAAATGCACGTAGAATTTTTTTTTACTGATTTATGTAACAAAAAAATAATGCAATTGCGATAAAACAGTTATAATAGTAGTAGTAGTAGTTTATTCTTTTATTCCATTAGGCAATATGCCCATGATGTCATTACAAGCATGTTATAAATGGCGAACAAAAACATGCAAAATGTATATATATATATATGTACATACATATACGTCTTATGGATGTAATGCGCAGATCATATTGATATACATGTATTCATAAATTATATTTGAACCATTAAACCGATCTCAGTCATTATGTCTAAAACGACCTCCATATCGAGCTATTGGTCTTGAAGAGACGAAATTCAAGACCAATATTAAGGAGATATCGTAAGTATTTCATAAGTATTTCACTTTAATATTTTCATTAAAGTAATAATACTTAACATTTAATAAGGATGTAATCTTAAAATACATCGAGAGTTGGAGAGAGAAAAAAAACAAAAACAAAAACTCGTAAATTACGGGCAGGGGCGACATCTCGGGATGTTTCTGCAAAAAAATCGTCTCGGCCTAACGGCCTCGACTTTTTTGGAATAAACATCCCTCGATGTCGCCAGTGTTATACCCCCGTAACTAACTCGTTTCATTTACTATAACTATTACTTAAAAGCAATGAGAAGTTTTATTTATAATTCACATGTAACTCTATTGGTAATAGCTAGGCTCACATATAACTCTATTGGTAAAAGCTAGGCATTTAGATTGATATGTCAAACTATTCAGCATTCAAGTAACGGTTATTTTGATTTTGTACAGAGGTACTGAGATAGTTACTATCATGCAGATTTATTTTTCTGTACATGAATTTTTCCTTGTACAACGAGATATGGTGAACTACATGTATTTTTTTCACTTTTAGCTGAGCCTATTTCATCTAAACTTCACGGAATGTTCATTTGGTGGTGTTCAAAGAATTTAATTCCATGCAGAACTCTGGTTGCCATGACAACCAAAAAAACAACTTAAAATATCTTCTTTTAAAAAAACCCAAAGAGCTAGAGCTTAAATATTTGGCATGATACATCTTCTAGTGAGTGTCTACTAAGTTTGTTCAAATAAAAACCCTGGGGTCAAAATTGGCCTCGCCTAAGGGGGTCATTGATTTTCCTGATATGTCTATAGTAAAAACTTAAAAAATCTTCTTTGAAAAAACTCAAAGAGCTAGAGCTTAGATATTACGCATGAAACATTTTCTAGTGAGTGTTTACCAAGTTCTTTTTCAAATAAAAACCATTGTGTCAAATTTGGCCCCGCCCCGGGGGTCATTGTTTTTTCTCTGCACTATTTGAGATACATATATGAACTTTGTGAAATCTTTTGTTCATAGATAACAATATTACTTGTTCCTTGTCATGGAGAGTTTTATTTTCAGGAGAGCGATTTCAGAGCCATCATGGCCCTCTTGTTATGTAATTTATGTAATTTTGTTTGCAAAATCAATTAAAGATAAGCAAGTTGTTTCTGTTTTGTTGTTTTTTTTTTCATCAAATTTTCACAACGTTAAGACATTATGTTTTGTTTCAGGAATTCGAGCAATCAGATGGAAGTCAATCACATAATCTGGAAATTAGTTATTTAGAAAGGTTGGACTTCGGTGACTACATATGTTTTGCGATAAATCAAGCAGGCTCCGATTCAGAAGTTATTTCTGTAACAGGTATGCTTTACAGTCGGTCAGTTCGTAGGTTTATGAATATTCATTCAATCAATCAATCAATCAGTCAGTCAGTCAGTCAGTCAGTCAGTCAGTCAGTCAATCAATCAATCGATCAGTAGATGATTCTTCTTTTAAGATGTAGTGTAGAGTCAAAGCAACGAGGCATTTTGGAATTGTCACAGTAACTATATTACCGAACGAGCCTGGAAGAGGATACACATTATGAGGAAATTGAAGTTTCAGCTTGACCGCAGATCTCTTGAAGTGATATATTTAACTTTCATCCGACCGATTTTGGAATACGCCGATGTTGTCTATCTAAACTGCACACAATATGAGAAACTCGAGCTTGACAAGATTCAAAATGAAGCCTCTCGTATTGTGTGCGGTGCTACAAAACTTGTATCATTGGTTCAACTACATAGTGAAGTTCCTTGGGAATCCTTAGAATCTCGAAGAAATAATCATATGCTTATGTTACTTTATAAAATGAACAAGAGCACCGCTAGGCGGAGCATTATATGCCCGAAAATGTTTTTTTAGTAAGGATGAATCATTTGTAAGACATGAGAATTAATCAAGTATTACCTCCTTCAAATAGCAATCCTCCTATGAAGTTTGAATATACTGGGCCAGAAGGAACTTAAGTTATGCTCCGGAAACTGTTTTCAGTTTTAAGGTAATAGTGACCTTGAACTTCGACATTGTGATCCCAAAATCAAAAAGGGTATTCTCCCCAATATGGACAATTATCCTATGAAGTTTTAACACTGTGGGCCAATGGAACTTTAGTTATGTTCTGGAAACTGTTTTCAGTTTTAAAGTAATAATAACCTTGACTTTTGACCTTGTAACCCCAAAATCGATAGGGGTCTTCTACCCAATATGGACAATCATCCTATAAAGTTTGAACAATGTGGGCCAAATGGAACTTAAGTTATGTTCCGGAAACTGTTTTCAGTTTTAAAGCAACATTGACTTTGACCTTGTAACCCCAACATCGATAGGGGTCTTCTACCCAATATGGACAATAATCCTATAAAGTTTGAACACTGTGGGCCAAATGGAACTTAAGTTATGCTCCGGAAACTGTTTTCAGTTTTAAAGTAATAATGACCTTGACCTTTGACCTTGTGACCCAAAAATCAAAAGGGGTCTTCTACCCAATATGGACAATAATCCTATAAAGTTTGAACACTGTGGGCCAAATGGAACTTAAGTTATGCTCCGGAAACTGTTTTCAGTTTAAAGGTAATCGTGACCTTTTCCTTTGACCTTGTGACCCCAAAATCAATAGGGGTCTTCTACCCAATATGGACAATCATCCTATGAAGTTTGAATTTTGTGGGACGGACGGGCGGACGTCAGGGGGTATAACATAATATGCCTTAAAAATGGCTTAACACCAGATTACTTGTGTTCTTTACTTCCACCTACTGTAGGTGAAAATTTAAGGTACGATCTACGCAATGCTACAAATATTCAGACTATTCGAACACGAACAACTCTTTATCAAAATGCTTTCTATCAACTGCTCTGATTAAATGGAACGCCCTTCCAACTGAAGTACAAAATTTACGTTCACTGTTCTCTTTCAAATCCCATTTGAGACGAATCAGCTCTAGTTGTCCGATTTATTTCTATGAAGGCGATAGAAAATGGAAGATCTATCATGCTCGACTTCGTAGAATGTACATGTAGTTCTCTAAATCAGCATCTTTTTAAGAAAAATATTCTCCATCTCCTTTTTGTCAGTGTGGCATAGTGGAAAGTAATTACCACTTTTTCTTTGAATGTCAACGCTATGTTGACAGCAGTGCCTCTTAACACTATATCTACTATTTGTTCAGCAACTCTCCAAACCTTATTAAATGGAGACCCAAACTTTAGTGATGATGCAAACAGAAGACTGTTTGAAGCCGTTCGTACATACATCCGAGAAAGCAGGAGATTCTCTTAAACATATTCACGTCAGCTCAAATCACTAAATGCTTTCTATTCAAACCGACGAAATATCCGAATGATCCACATTTCAGTTTTTTCTTCTTTTTTATTTTCCTTTATTTCTTTCTATCTTAATTTGCGTTATTTCTCTTTAAATTTATATAACAAAATGATGCAGTCTTGTTTTCTCATTCTTTTTGGTATATATTTTTGCTTTATATTATAACTAAATGTTAGAAAAAAAATTGACTAACTTTTTAAAAACAATGTAAAATCAGATATATTTCAAGCAAGTCACGTATACTGTCATACCGTATTTTATGCACTGTAAATCTATAGGGAGAAGGCCTTATTAAGCTCAGCTTTCGGACCCAATCCTTTTTCAAAGTTCATGTTTGTATTGTGTACATTATTGTCTGTACATATACTGAAATAAACTATCTTTAAACTAACTAAAGCAAGGAGGATAACCTTAAAATTTATTATCCTTAAAATTAAGTCTTTGCAACCGCTACAGCAAATTTTGTGACTATGTTTAGTATTTAGACAATTCTGTAGCAAAATTTAGATAAGATGTAACCTTCAAGTGGTCTCATTATGGTAATCTCAAATGAGTACAATATGAACCAAAATCCCGTAATAAATTCTGAAAATATTTAGAGTGTGGATTGTTACAGACATAGGGAATATTTGTTTGTTTGTGTGTAAGATAAAATTTTATTTTGTCGAGTGAGTTTAAAAACATTATTCGTAGCAACGAATGAATACATGTATACTGTTACATTTTACACAACATACAAACAAGTTTTCTTTTTATTTTATGCATAAAACATGTTTGAATGAAATTTCCTTAATATTAACTTGAATTTTAAAATCTGCTTTCCCCACTAGTAGCCTTTATTTCAGACGAATTTCTCATAGATACAAGAAGTCTTGAGCTGTTCGAAAATCAACGTTTAATGTGAATGATATTATTTATTTTAAACAAAAAATATTAATGACCGCTTGTTTAAATGATAACAACGACCATTTCTAAAAAAAACACTTGGCACAGTGTTTGGATAGTATAAAAGTATTTTTAGAAACAAAAAAATACAGTATATACAATATTATAAATACAGTATATTTTTTTACACTATCCCAACACTGTGCCGAGTCCCTGTGACTAGGAATTTGGAAAACGTGAAATCGTTTGAAAGGCTGTCTTACGAACGCTGGGTTATTTACTTATCCTTCGGGCAGATGACTGCCATTGCTTTGACACAGTTTCTACAGTTATTGTTTGTAGACTATCTAAATATGCCCAAATGGCACCAAGAGCAGTTTTGCATGATGAAGGAAGAGTAATTATAAGACTGTTATGGATGAAATCAAAACGTATAGACGAATAAGTAGAGACGAATTTGGTGATCGGTAAATTGAATATTCATTCAATTAAGTTTTATCTTTTTGATTACGTTTCAAAATTAAGTTATTTTCAATTGTAGCTTTGCATTGCTCTAAACAACCCTTGCTATGTCGAAATTATAAGCATATATAAAATTGAGGTACCTCATGGGGAAAATCTTTAAAAAGTACTCTCTTCATTGAAAAGTGTGAAATTATATTTTGATAAATTTTACTGTGAAACTATCAAAATTAATATAATTTTCATGGATAAATCAGTAAACCCACTCAAAAGCATAAATAAAGTTTGATATTTTGATGTTGTTGTTATTTTGTGTGTGCTGTTGTTATTTTCGTGTTTTGCTGTTGTTTTCTAGAAATAACAACAAGTACAGTAGATACAAAATCAACCGTCATGAGTGCGACACTGAAACCTAGCAAAACAACAAAGCAGAAAACTACTACCAGAATAACTGATTTTACAACGCCATATTTAGACAAAACCTCTTCAAGCAAAATATCGTTGTCGTCATCTTCTTTAGATAGTGTGAGTTACATTCCAGGTAAATCAGGTAAGATGAACTGACTTAAGGTGACATAATAAATACAGTATTGTTACATTACTGTCAATGTTATGAATATTGAGTCTATCTGATCAAACGATCAGTTTTAACATGAAATATTAATACGCATCACTGTTCTGTCATACCTCTTTCGTAGTCCTTGTTTCTTTCTCTGTCTTCCTTTCTTTTTATACAAAAAAGTCAAAACAGAAATTTCAGATTTTGAAGCACTATCTATCGATGTTTTGAGATGATATCTTAAGGTTTCTACATGCCGTTTTTGTTAACCCTTAACATTTCTTGCATCAAGTACTGTAGTAATATATTTTTACAAGATACCGTGATAATATGAACAATGCAATTTAATTTATCTCAATCGGAATAATGTTTTTATATCACAGATAAATAACTTATAGATAGATATTTTGTTTACGTCTCATTTCAGATATTGTTGCGGACAATGCTTCTGTTCGGTTTTGCAGTGGAAACATACTGCTGTTAATAAATGTGATGCTATGTTTATACGTTGATATATAAAACACTGTCAAGCAAAACTTCTCGGTAAAACTCTGTCAAATTTGAGATTTTTGGTACAAGAAACGTAAGAATCCCTTGCCCAGATGTACTTTTTTAGAGAAAATCGACGCATTTTGTGATTTTGTATTGACAAAGTGATGAAATGAGTTTTAGATTTTATACTACTCAAAGTTTACTAAGCACCAAGAGTATTTTTGTACCTATCTTATGTTGTATAGCAAATATTATGTTTATTCTGTTCTTATATATGGCATAGTGATTTATTAACATCATTAAGGAATTTGTTACCAATTGTAATGTGTTTTCATGTTGATTTGTTTTGATTGTAACGAAATTGTGTTAAAGACGTACGTATACGATGGAATTTGTGAAAAACTTATTTGTGCCCCCAAAAATCTTTGCAAATAACTAATTTTGCTTTAATAGGGAGTATGTGACCCAGTGTTGTCATTGACAGCTTGGCACCGTCGTTGCATACTCTCTATCAGGTTTCTTAGGACGACTTGTGGGATGGTGTTCCACTCGTCGGCAAGAGCGGCACCAAGCTCCTGGGTGCTTCTTGGCTGGACCTGACGGACTGAAATACGGACCTGTAGCTCCTTCCACGCATGCTCAATGGGATTAAGATCTGGGGATCGGGCCGGCCAGTCCAAACGAGTAAAACCCTGTCTTTCCAAGTACTCTTGGACGACATTGGCTGTATGGGGGCGGGCATTATCATCCATCAAAATGAACCAATTACCAATTGCACCAGCAAACATCCTTACCTGGGTGTTGAGGATCTCATCTCGATGCCACTGGGCAGTCAATGTGCCTCTGTCGAGGACAATGAGGTCAGTACGTCCCAGCTGATTCCACCCCAGACCATTATTCATCCGCCGCCATAGCGGTCGTGTTCCGGAATGTTTGCTGAATGGAACCGTTCCCCTGACCTTCGCCACACTCTAGTACGCCTATCTCTGAAGTACAGGCAGTACCTTGACTCGTCGGTGAAGAAGACAGACCACCAGTCCATCCTGCTCCAACCAACATGGTCCATGGCCCGATCTTATCGGAGCTGGCAGTGTTCTCTAAACAGCGGGATTCGTATACATGGTCTTCTCGATCGCAGATTACTTTCATGCAAACGTGTACGTATGGTGTGTGCACCCTGAAGCATTTTGAAGGTCTGAACGAAGTTGGGTTACAGTTGCAAAACGGTATCTTCGTGCCTGGATCACCAGGAAACGATCCTCAGCCTCAGAAGTCACCCTTGTTCTGCCACAACAATGTCGTCTAACAGGTCTAACAGGCTCGAGTGATAACCGTATGGTCCACACCAAACACCCCACCAACCTCACGATGTCGAGCCCCCCTGCTCCACCATACCAACTGCCACCACAACTCTGCTTAACATTTGCATTCGCCATTAATCAATCTAAAATGTTCTATATTTCAATGGAAAATGAAGAATGAACACCCTTTACGTGTCGGTATGTGTATGCTGTGTCTAATAAAGAATATCAAAATACAAGGTTACCTTGTTTGCACTACTTGCACGAGGAAATGGCCTGTCATTCAAGGTTAAGTGTACACAGGGTACACTCTCGATACATTACTACACGATTTACAATGTAAATATCATAACATTATATGGTGTAGAATGCATCACAGACACTTGGGGTTATGTGCAAGGCTCCCATTCTTAATCCGCATTTGGATACACCATGTCTGTTTGTATCCTGCAAACCGTACGTCAAAATATTTTTGCTTATTTTTACGACCTAGTCACATGTCTTGAACATAAAACCTGTTTTCCGCTATTTTGACAACGTTTAAAAAAGTCCCTAAAATATTATAATTTCATAAAGATAACGTACAATTTCCTTTGATGTGAGACGACTGGAATGAGTTTCAGCACTTTCATTTTTTGTGCTTTCATTTTAATGCCGAGAACCAGACATGATTCTCTAACGAATAAAACACGTGCAATTTTGTCATGGAATCATCACATCCAGAGGAATTTCATCCAGCCAGTTTGATAACCACGAGAAATTATAAAGAAACATAATTCAAGTAAAATGATTTTTAAATAATGAATGTAAATGTCTTAAGGTAAAAAGAAATAGAATTGTTCTATATTTATTAATGTTTACCTTGTATTTTCGCTCCCGAAAATATAGGCCATGCGCACGTGTGTGATACGATAACAACGTACACTTTCATTCATAAAATTTTTTAAAGAAATTTTCTGTTTCCCTACGATTTTTCCGCTGTTAGGTGGAGGAAACATTCCAGTCATTGAAATTCATGTAGGTCAGATGTATTTATATTTCGAAGCTTGGTATCTTTAGGAAATTGAAGCGTTGGTAAAAAAACGTTATGAAATTCTTTTCAAACTTGTTCACGTGTTAGACACTTAACTGTCTCATACTAATATAAGTAAAAATTTAAAACTAATTCTTGTAATAAATAATAATTTTAGTTTTTAATATTCAGGGTCGGGGAAGGGCGGGGTCTATACTCCAAGTGTCTGTGGAATGCACGATGCTATGTGCTTAGCTTGGTGCTTTGAGTAGTATATTTTACAAACACATACTTAGCGCTTTGTAATAACGTCGAGAAGCGATGAATTATGTTTGCTGAGAACTGTTTTAAGTATCATCAGTATTCATGCTTACGTATTCCAGATGAACTTACATAAACGATAAACGGAGTGATAAAACATGCAATTTTTTAGTGTGTTTTTTTTTAATGCAGAGACTAAACTGTTGTTCATATTGTTGTTGTCATCAAGTATTATATATTATCCAAGCATTATACATGTATACTTTTAGCAGATAAATCAATGTTTGTGTTATTTTTATGAAGATTCAAGTTTTGACGTAGTTAAACAATTTTCAAGTGAACAAATAATTGTGAGAAAGTATAAGGCACTACGTCACTAATTATCTCAATTTTGTTTTAAAAAAAATCTACCCTAGATCTGTCTATAAATATGATATCTTAACGAAAAGAAAGGAAACTCTTATACATGTGTTACCATTTTGTATGATGAGAGCTATATTGAGCTCCCTTTAACTGCCTTATCTCTTGTTTATTTTGCGGCGTAGGCAGATAAAGATTATTTGTTAAGGCGGATTTCATTGATTCAGAGCTGCTGGATTTTTTATGCCCCCAAAGGGAGGCATAATATAATCGCATCGTCCGTCCGTCCGTCTGTCTGTGCGTCCCCAATTCATTCGTGTCCGGACTGTAACTTTGTCATACATTGAGGGATTTTGAAATAACTTGGCACAAATGTGTACTACATCAAGCGCTTAGACGATGTGTCGCGTCCAAGAACCACGTCCCTACCTCAAAGGTCAAGGTCACACTACAATTTTTCACATTATCGTAATTAGAGTAAATAGGTACACACATTCGTGTCCGGACTGTAACTTTGTCATGCATCGAATGATTTTTAAATAACTAGGCATAAGTGTCTACCACATCAAGACGATGTGTCGCGTCTAGAATTACGCCTCTACCTCAAAGGTCAAGGTGACACTTATATTTTATATTTTGAAGTATCACATTATCACAATTAGAATTAATAGGTGCACACAATCGAGTCCGGGCTGTGACTTTGTCGTGCATGGAAGGATTTTAAAATAATTTGGCATAAATGTTTTCAACATCAAGACGATGTGTCGCGTTCAATAATCACGCCCCTACCTCAAAGGTCAATATCACACTAACATTTTGAAGTTTCACTTTATCACAATAACAATTTATAGGTACATACATGTGTGTCCGGGCTGTAACTTTGTCATGCATCGAAGGATTTTGAAATAACTTGGCATAAATGTCTACCACATCAAGACGACATGTCGCTACAAAGACCCATGTCCCTACCTTTAAGGTCAAGGTCACACTTATAGTTTGAAGGTACTCAAATTCTCTCGACAAGAGTTTGAAGATACACATTTATGCCCGGACTGTAACTTTGTCATGCATGGAAGGATTTTAAAATAACCTGTCACAAATGTCTACCACTTCAAGACAATGTGTCGCAGCTTAGGCTCATGTCCGTCTGTCCGTGCGTCCCCACTTAAATCACAAAAATCATGTCCAGACTGTAACTTTGTCATGCATTGAGGGACTTTGAAATAATTTGGCGCAAATGTCTATCTCATAACAACATTTTGTCGCGTCCATGCTATCACAATTAGAGATTACAGGTACAATAATACAAAGAACAATATTCAGCAATTAGTTACTTTCATTCTCTTTTCTTTTCATAATACCTGCATGCTGAAGAAACCTTTTCAGGGGCATTAGTCACTTGGGTGACAGCTCTTGTTTTATTTATTCTTTACTTTCATGAAATAAAGCAATCGTTTTAAATTAGTATTCAATGTATTATGACGGCAATTCTTTTCAACATGTTTTGAGAAAAAGAAATAATAGCATTTTAGGCATTATGGGCCTTTAAATATATGGCTTTGTATTTCTTTATTGGCAATATAGCAATCTCCAAGTACGTGGACTGGACCTGTATTTTTTATGTATATTTCATTAAATAAATAACAATGTTTACTTTAGTAATCATTAACTGTGTATTTTATACGACGAAATAGAAATACTTAACATAGTTCTTCCATATGTGATAGGTGATTTCTATTTGATAAATATATAATTGTACATGTATATAATATTTACTTTATATGCTAGTTATAGAATTTAATATATTTGCAAGTGATAAGTGTTACTTTTCACGGAATATAATTATGTCATATTTGGTTAAAATGCATGTACAATAATTTAATTTGAAATCTGAATAAACAATTTTAAAATCCTATGTATCAATTTTTATACATGCATATGTTTATTCAATATCATTTACATGTTTAAGATCAAATGTATCTTTTATATCTTTTATTGAGGATATAAATGTGAAACGTTGATGTGTGAAGTTGGCGGCCTAGCGGTCTGGCGGCGTGAAGTTGACGGACGACCTGATGAGAATTTTTTTTGAGAATCTATGATTTCAAAGACACAAAGCGAGAAACATAAGCATAATTAAATGATAAAAATGACATAAAAGGACAGGCAATAAAATCGTTCGGCCATTGTTCTCATTAAATTTGGTTCGACCATTGTATTCGTTTTTTATATGCCCGAAAGAATTTCGGGCATATTATGTTATACCCCCTGGCGTCCGTCCGTCCGTCTGTCCGTACGTCCGTCCGTTAGCAATTTGGTTTCCGGAGCATAACTTAAGTTCCATTTGGCCCACAGTATTCAAACTTCATAGGATGATTGCCCATATTGGGTAGAAGACCCCTATTGATTTTGGGGTCACAGGGTCAAAGGTCAAGGTCACTATTACCGTATACCTGAAAATGGTTTCCGCAGCATAACTTCAGTTCCATTTGGCCCACAGTTTTCAAACTTCATAGGATGATTGTCCATATTGGGTAGAAGACCCCTATTGATTTTGGGGTCACAAGGTCAAAGGTCAAGGTCACTATTAGCTTAATACTGAAAACGATTTCCAGAGCATTACTTAAGTTCCATTTGGCTAACAGTTTTCAAACTTCATAGGATGATTGTCCATATTGGGTAGAAGACCCATATTGATTTTGGGGTCACAAAGTCAAAGGTCAAGGTCACTATTAGCTTAATACTGAAAATGGTTTCTGCAGCATAACGAAAGTTCCATTTGGTCCACAGTATTCAAACTTCATAGGATGATTTTCCATATTGGGTAGAAGACCGCTATTGATTTTTCGGTCACACGGTCAAAGGTCAAGGTCCCTTTTACCGTAAAACTGAAAATGATTTCCGCAGCATAACTTAAGTTCAATTTAACCCACTGTATTCAAACTTCATAGGATGATTGCCCATATTGGTTAGAAGACCCCTATTGATTTTGGGTCACAGGGTCAAAGGTCAAGGTCACTATTACCTTAATAGTGAAAATGGTTTCCGGAGCTTTACTTAAGTTCCATTTGGCCCTCATAGGATGATTGTCCATATTGGGTAGAAGACCCCTATTGATTTTGGGGTCACAAGGTCAAAGATCAAGGTTACTATCACCTTTAAACAGGAAACAGTTTTCGCTCAATAACTCAAGCATTAATCAACCCACAGCTAAAGTACTTTCGGGCATATAATGCTCCGCCTAACGGTGCTCTTGTTAAAAAGATGCACAACTTCGTAATGCAACTTTACAAAGGATGGAAATTGTTTATGACTGGCAAACTTGCAATTAAGCACAAGATGTCAGTACAAATTTCGAAAATGCGTTTCTTTTACTGAAAACACCACATTTTAATCGAAACATTACGATTAAAAATGCGCACAAAATGAAAACTCTAAAAATCGGAGATTCTGTTACAATTCGAAAGATAAGTACATGTACTTGGAACCAGCCAAGGTTATAACCCAGCACAATGAAAACTTAACAGAGCTCCTAAAATATTTGACCTGCCAAAACAAACACAACAACCATCTAGAGTAGACAAGTTAAAATGGTTTCCTGCGGTGGGGGGATTTTTAATAATTTAAAGATGTTTCATTTAACTTCTTAAAAAACCGTTTGTATCGAGAATATAATAATCAATCAATAGAAAAGGGTCTTTGGAGACCGGTGACCGTCGGAGACTGGAGAGGGCGATTAGGTCAGTTTATTTTTTTTGTTTTGTTTTTTTGTTTTTCTAATAAGCTTTCCGACAATGACTGTAAGATCAGCAACTGCTACACAAAAAATTTCGAATTTTATTTTGATACATATTTATTTTACACTCATATTTTCATGGTTGAATATATTTGATGCTGCTCCTGATATATGCTCAAGCAGCATGCTGGACTTTGGGTCAGTCGTATTGAAATATGATTGAATAATCATTTTTATTTTACATGTTTTTCTTATTCTGATTATTAGGTTAAGTGTACATAAATTGGTTTTCTAGTATGTTGTAATATTATGTGATGTTTGATTGTAGTGTGATATATTGCTTGTAGTGTGATATTATAATGGGAGTATCCGTTTTGTTTCACTTGATCAGTTCATTCATACTGCAGTTAAAGGGATTATCTCAATCGATACGACATTTTCTGCTGTAATCGTTTATATTCTACAGGCAAAGTGAACGTTCTTTTGTGGATTTTGTATTATTAATACGAGATATGTGTCAGTTTCATGTGATTTCCAACGCCTTGCAGACTCGCAAAATAAATGGGTCTATTCGCGAAAACAGATGACAAACATGAAAACCGCTAGGCTCCACATAGTGTCTGGGTAGAATACAAATGAAGAATACAATCCCTGTATACCTTTGCAAATAAATCCCAATTCTGGGGCAACCTTCTCGCCTTTATATCACACAATTTTCTCTACCGTAGAAAAACTCGAAAAGTTTCATGTCTGCAACTTCAAAAACACGAATAAAAATATCGCCGTCGTCTTTTGACCTTTCGCAGTTACTCCCCTTTTTTATTTTGTGGCGTCGAAATTCCCGAGTCCCGGGATTTAAAAACCGGCCAAAGTCTATTACCCGGGACCCGGATTCCATAAGTTTGTCAAATTCCCGCCTGTCAGGAATGGTCTTCTGTCTAAAGCCCCGTGTATGCCCGCCGCCCCCCCGGTAGGGCAAAATATTGACAGGTGCAAAAGAAGCAACCCTAGTTGTAAAATTTATCCAATTGTAATGTACGCTAAGTACTACCAGTTTATTAATTAAAACATTCCGAATTTCATAAGAAATATTAAACATATCCACTCCAGAGAACTTTATTTTTGCCATGTATAAAATAACAAAATATTTCACTATGAAACGCTTGAAATATTTTTTTTCTTGAGTTTGCAAAGTTATCGCAATAAAAAGCAATTCTACAAAAGTACGTTTATTTAAAATGTGGAATTTTTGATGATTGATTTTAATTGTATGATTCCATTTATTTGTTCTTATGTTTTGTTTAAACCTTACCTTCAATAATGATAACGTGACGAAAAAAACTTTGCAAACAAAATACATGACTAAAATTTTGTGGTAGAGTCTTTTTGACAGAACATCAATTGTCTCGGACATTACGTAATCCAGTAAAAATATTCGTTGTGGGTAATAGTAATAGTTATTATTATTATCATTTTATTATACAATCATTTTTTAAGTTTAAACTTAATATTATTAAGTGTGTTCATTTAAGCTTAGGTTAATAGCATGGGTAAATAATATTGTACAAACGAATTAAATTACGAGTATAACTATGTATCCGGCATACAAAAGAAGTTATATACCTGTCCTTATATTAATATCAATGTCATAAAAAATATTTACTGATATTGTGGGCATATATGCAGCGTACAGAATAACAATACATATATTACAATTCGTGCCTTTGATATTATTAAGGCTACATCAAATTTTAAGATTTGAACAGAACATTTCAAAAAGGGCATCTTACTAGCCAATATTGAGATAAAATGTATTTTAATTGTTAATTATTATGTGCTTCCTACGTAGTTTTAAATATTTCAATTACAAAGAGCCAACATTGTCTTTTCCTCTTCTACACTTATAAGTGCAATTGCTACTTATTTCTAATACAGATTTCACCATACATGACTGTAGAGATGAAGGAAATTTACAAGATCTGCGTGTAATGTTCGATACTAATAGTGTAATGTTTGATACATCATTGTTATATGTTGTAGACGCTATCATGTGTATAATATTGTTGATGATATATTTTAAACATGTCAGTAACTATGTTAATAGTTTCTAATAATATTTTCAGTTATTATATGTATGTTTATAATAGTATTTTTTTTGCTAATGCGGTGAAACGTTATTGGGGTTTGAAACTGATTTAGATGATAATCAAAAATATTGCCTCATATATATTTACGCATTTAAATTACAAACACCTATTTACTTTATTTAAACAATATATAATTATGGAATATTTTCTCAAAACAAAAGCAAAATCGCTGAAAACATTAACAAATGTATAGATTGCCATCAGAATAATTCAGTAATGTTCGATACGAAATGTAGTGAACATTACAATACCTATTATGAAAGGCATATCACTTATAATCTATATCTAAACAATTTCAGTAAGAAAACCTTGCAAACAGATTCTGGCTTTAGAAGAAAATAAATATTAAACGTATTACATCTTTGTTTTTGTAGTTACTAGAATCTGATATTCAGTTACTAGATTCTAAAGCCTTACCTATACAAAATTAAGAAAATTTGATTATAACTGTAAAAATACAAAGGATGTTTACATTTATGCTGCAACTATGATTAACCCATTTGTGCCGGAATTTTATTTTTATATAAGAAATGTATAAAACATATAGTAACCATATAGTTATAACATATATCCGTTTATTTTTCAAATATAAGTACTGTATTTTTTATTTTAGTGTTTTAATATTTTGTCTACAAAAGTAGACAACAGGCGCAAATGGGTATATGTAAAACACATATAGAATATATGTCCAGATAACCTATTGTTGGTTTATTTGATAACTTTTACTTGAAAAAATCCTTAAAGTTTATACAGGCAATGTTTTCTATTACTTTTCCTACAAAAGTAGACATTAGGCACAGAAGTGTTCACTCTGAAATTCATTCTGAATATGAATTGTTATTGTTCATGTCTTTTGGCTTTGATCGTATGAATACCTAAACACTGTGAAACATTTCAAAGCATTTCCTGTGCACTCCAACATTACATTTGGAACATTGTGTCCTGTATTTTTTTCCACACAATGAACAGCGCACTTCTTTTGCTGGCACTGCGTAATGAGTTTTACCATCAAGTCGGATATGGTCTGGAATTCTTCTTGACAATGGCCTCATCCTACCTCTTGGTCTGCCAGGGCTGACAGCAGGTGTACGCCCCTGAGCAAGCAGCACAGTAACCAGAGCTCGTCTGACACCTAACAGATCTAATGGTTGCCTCAATCCTGCATCAGTAGCTCGGCAAATGTGCCAGGTTTGCTGCACCGCAAGGTCAATGCAATACATAAACACTGGCCACCACCACTTCTTGGATCTGATAGAGATACGATACTTCTCAACATTTTGATCCATCCTGTCCACACCTCCCATTGTCTGGTTGTAATGCTTTTATAAGGTATGGCTGCGGAAGACGCACCCTAGCTTTTGCCTGCTTTGACCACCGTGTTGCTTGTTGCAATGGTTCAACTCCATGGCAATTTGACACCACATTCACTATATTGTTGTCATTCCACCTCACCACTATCAGACCTTTGTGTGCGTCATACCTTTTATCATAGTTTCCTCGTTGCGTTTTTCCCATGTCTTTTACATTTTTGACAGGACAATCTTCTATTCGGTTGGCACGGATGGTTCCTGTGCAAGATATTCCCATATCTGTAAGCCGGTCCATAAGCTTCAGGGAAGTAAATAGATTATCAAAAGTCAGATGGTATGCATCATTTTTCTGCAGCTCTGAAAGCAGGTCCATAACTACTGCTCCGCCCATTCCAAGGAAGCCAGGATCATGGGTTTGGTGGCCGTTTGCCCCTTGATAGGGCTCAAATTGTAAAACATATCCAAGTGCTGTCGTTAACGCCCACATCTTATAACCGAACCTAATTGGTTTACCGCGAATAAACTGTTTCGCTCCGTGTCGCCCATAGTACGGGATCATGATTTCGTCGATTGAAAGGTTTTTCCCTTTCAAGAAGTATAACAAGAAGCGCTCATTCAGCAGACATAGCAGTGGTCTTACTTTGCTAAACTTGTCCTCTCTGTCAAGATTGTTGTTATCGCAAAGATGTACATATCGCACCAATATGTCGAATCTGTCTCGCGGCATTGTACGAGCTATTGCCTCATTCCTTACGTCATCATCCCGGCTCCAGAACTGTCTCCGTCTTGGCACAGTGTTATAGCCTGATCTAAGCAGAATTGCTAGGAAGATCCTAATTTCTTGGGGTGAAGTTGAAAACGAATGGTTGCCTTTTGAACCAGCATATCTTATACTCTGTTCAACAATCATGTTGATCACGTCATCATCAAAAAATAAGTTGAAGATGCCATCTGGTGTTTGCGGCCATATACTTTTGTCTATATTTGAGCCATGCCAAGTGAATCTGTCTTTATTTTGCTCAGGTAGATCTTTATTTTCCCACTTTCTCTTTACTGGTGCAGGTCGTTTGGGACGCGGAGCTGGATCCCGTAGTGCAATTCTTACTTGAGGTCTTTTTGCAATATTTGCAGGCACTTCGTATTCATCTGTATCAGAAGAATCTGAAGAATGGTCAGTTTCCTGAAAAATAAAATATGATAAATATAAAAAATCTTATTCTCAACTGGATTTACTGTACATTATTTACTTACTTGCTTCGTATTTATTTATTTATCTATTTATTATTTATTTATTTTATTTATTTATTTTATTTATTTATTACTAACTAGATCGGAGTCTGATGCTGAATCAACAACATGACGTCCATCTAGGCGGATAACTGTCACTGTTGCTTGTTGGTCTAACTGACGTCCACTGAGGTTGTTGTAACCTACTTCTTCATCTTCACTTGCACTATCTTCATCTGTCAGTTCATCTACAGGAGGTGGTTGAACATGTATATCTGCCCTTTCAAAGTTACCTTCATCCTCAAGCATTGATATGATTTCATTTACTGTGTATCTTCTGTAAACAACAAAATATTTTCATAATGATAAAACGTACCCATTTGATCCTATTGTCTACTTTTGTAGACAAAATCTAAATTGACTGTCATAAAACATTTTATACATATTTCTGAATTATAAAACAGGAATTGAGCAGAAATATAATTATACAATATAAAACAATCATACTTTATGATATGAAATAAAAACAATATAAAGTTTTACATACCTGTTTCTGCTAGCCATTTTCAATAATATTTTCAAGGCAATTTTTATCACATTCTTGTTGAAAACACACTGCAAATAACGTAGTGGTCTGCATTTGTCTAGCAAAATAGTCCAATTAACGCTTATCATGACAACAAGTATAGAATAACAATGATAAACAAATGTGCGCTCATAATTAGGTCCTAGTGTACTGATAACTGTTAGTGTCTACAAAAGTAGACAACAGGCGCAAATGGGTTATGTATAACACAAAAATGACTAGTTTAAGTCCTGGTTAATTGAAAATTAAGTATACTAAAGCCATGTTACATTTTTATTGTATTGAACATTACAGTCGCGTACATTACAGACATTATGTGTATACAGATATATTAAAAGATTCGTGGGCACAATTCTTTCAGATTTGGTTATTATATATCCCTCCAAATGTAAATCATTTATTAAAAATTCCTTAATTGGGAAATAGTGCATAGAACGTACTAATTTTTAAGTAGCGAACATTACATGCTTAAGTCATCATCTGGCACAGGCTGTCAAAGTAATAGAATCTCGGTTAATTCTTAGAATTTATCATAAGAAAGATAAGTCTGGCTATAGTAGCATAAGTATTTAATTGTAAATAAACATATAAACGACTTAGATTACTAAGTTATTTTCAGTTATGTGCGGCACTTAATTTACAAGTCGCGTACATTACCGATGCCAGTAAATTTTGGCGACAGTTCTAAAACATTCTACATATGACAAAGATCAGTCTTTTCAAGTGGGTCAAGCTTCGAAAACAGATAAGGAGACATACATACTCCTGCACAAATTAATTTTTTGCCGAATTGTATAGGTTTTTGGGGTTACACTAGCTCAAACACGAATAATCCAAAATGGCGACAGTCTCGAACATTACATTTCCAATAGCTTCCGTCATAAAATTTTGGTATCGAATGTGTTATCAATTAAGTCTATGGATAAAAAAATTCCCTTAGATTCTATATACTTTTTGAACGTTAGCTATCAAATAGAATAAGTGAATATATCCCAAACTGTGATTTTATTGCTCAATAACATCACTGTTTGGAGTTCGGATGCGGGGAATTATATCACGAGGGCGTAGCCCGAGTGATATAACGATGCGCATCCGAACGACAAACAGTGATGTTATCAAGCAATAAAATCACTGATTTTGGATATATTATTTCGATTCTAACACGACATCAACAAATAAATGCTGAAGTACATGATAATAAGCTAAATTACGCCTGATTTGCTTCCGTACTTATTGTCAGCGCGTCACATTTTTAGTGGTTACGTCACGTGTATAATGATTACGTCACATGTCTAAATATAAAACGCCAAACAGTGATTTTATAGCATAATAACACACACTTTCGGTTATTCTATGTTCAATAGGGAAAAAATGCAGGTCGTGTTAGAATGCATAATAACACACACTTTCTGTTCTTCTATAATGTCGACCGTCTGTATCATTCATAAATGGCGTGTAATAACGATCTGCATGTTTTTGGTATTTTTTGGATAAAGTGAAATAAAACAATTACTTCTTTTTAAGAAAATGATTAAATACCATTGTATGAATAATTCCGTGCAAAAAAAAAAATAAAGAAATAAAATAAAGTTAACACATAAGTTTACGCAGAATATATATACATATTATTATTATGGAAGATGCCACTACGAAAGGTTTTAATTTTATATAATTTTATTAGCTCACCAAGTCCTGTCACAAAGTGACAGGGTGAGCTTTTGTGATCGCTTTTCGTCCGGCGTCCGTTCGTCGTCCGTCCGTCGTCCGTAAACTTTTACTTTAAATGACATCTCCTCATAAACCACTAGGCCAATTTCATCCAAACTTCACAGGAATGTTCCTTTGGTGGTCACCTTTAAAAATTGTTCAAAGAATTCAATTCCATGCAGAACTCTGGTTGCCATGGCAACCGAAAGAAAAAACTTTAAATATCTTCTTTTAAAAAACCCTAAGAGCTAGAGCTTAGATATTTGGCATGAAACATCTTCTAGTGAATGTCTAACAAGTTTGTTCAAATAAAAGCCCTGGGGTCAAAATTGGCCCCGCCCCAGGGGGTCATTGATTTTCCCTATATGCATATAGTAAAAACTTAAAAAATCTTCTTTTAAAGAACCCAAAGAGCTAGAGCTAAGATATTTAGCATGAAACATGTTCTAATGAGTGTCTACCAAGTTTGTTCAAATAAAAGCCCATTGGGTCAAAATTGGCCCCGCCCTAGGGGGTCATTGATTTTCCCTATATGCATATAGTAAAAACTTAAAAAATCTTCTTATAAAGAACTCAAAGAGCTAGAGCTAAGATATTTAGCATCAAACATGTTCTAATAGGTGTCTACCAAGTTTGTTCAAATAAAAGCCCTGGGGTCAAAATTGGCCCCGCCCCGGGGGTCATTGATTTTCCTTATATGTGTATAACAAAAACTTAAAAAATCTTCTTTGAAAAAACCAAAATAGCTAGAGTTTAGATATTAAGCATGAAACATCTTCTAGTGAGTGTCTACAAAGTTTGTTCAAATAAAAGACCTGGGGTCAAAATTGGCCCCGCCCAGGGGGTCATTGATTTTCCTTATATGTGTATAGCAAAAACTTAAAATCTTCTTTGAAAAAACCCAAATAGCTAGAGTTTAGATATTAAGCATGAAACATCTTCTAGTAAGTGTCTACAAAGTTTGTTTAAATAAAAGCCCTGGGGTCAAAACTGGCCCCGCCCCAGGGGTGTCATTGTTTTTAACTATATGTTTATAGTAAAAACTTAAAAAAATCTTCTTTTAAAAAGCCCAATGAGCTAGAGCTTAGATAATTAGCATGAAACATCTTCTTATGGGTGTCTACCAAGTTTGTTCAAATAAAAGCCCTGGGGTCAAAATTGGCCCCGCCCCAGGGGGTCATTGATTTTCCCTATATGCATATAGTTAAAACTTAAAAAATCTTCTTTTAAAGAACTCAAAGAGCTAGAGCTAAGAAATTTAGCATCAAACATGTTCTAATGAGTGTCTACCAAGTTTGTTCAAATAAAAGCCCTGGGGTCAAAATTGGTCCCGCCCCGGGGGTCATTGATTTTCCTTTATATGTGTATAGCAAAAACTTAAAAAATCTTCTTTGAAAAAACCCAAATAGCTAGAGTTCAGATATTAAGCATGAAACATCTTCTAGTGAGTGTCTACAAAGTTTGTTCAAATGAAAGCGCTGGGGTCAAAATTGGACCCGCCCAGGGGATCATTGATTTTCCTTATATGTGTATAGCAAAAACTTAAAATCTTCTTTGGAAAAACCCAAATAGCTAGAGTTAAGATATTAAGCATGAAGCATCTTCTAGTAAGTGTCTACAAAGTTTGTTCAAATAAAAGCCCTGGGGTCAAAACTGGCCCCGCCCCAGGGGTGTCATTGTTTTTAACTATATGTGTATAGTAAAAACTTAAAAAAAAATCTTCTTTTAAAAAGCCCAATGAGCTAGAGCTTAGATGTTTAGCATGAAACATCTTCTTATGGGTGCGGGGGTGCTATGTACAGGTGAGCGACCTCAGTGCCATCATGGCCCTCTTGTTATATAAACAATTTATTTTTTTGCAAAATTTGAGATAGATATTGAAGGAACATTGATAATTTTTTCAAACACATCAAGTTTTTCCGCCTCAAACGGTAAAATAATGATAAATAGAAATATCACGTATAGTAATTGGTGTCGGCCTGGTGAATTTTCGTATTCTTTGTTCTATAGTAAATCAGTCACATTTGAGGCTTAATTCTGGATTCCACTGTTCTTGATGAATTATATACTGTCTTCAACTTTAAACATCAACACTATGTAAGTCAAATGAGGCCCAAAATATAATAGGTTAGCCATCTCCTTTTTTCAGAAATTTTCATTCTGTTGTAACACAGTTTAAATTCACCACTTTAAAAACTACTGACTGCTGGTGGGTCTTTAATGATCTTTAATCATTCCGCCAACAAATGAGTTCCTGGAGAATACACAAAAAACAACTTTTAAACTCATCATATAACACACAAAAACTACACACATGCAATAAATACACTTTAATTATGACCAATCTAACCAGAGATGACTTAAATTGGGCCACTTCAAAATTTTAAAGAACTACTTTCTACAATGGGTCCGGTCTAATTCCGTACCGGGTTGAGACCAATATGTACCGTACTTGTAATTAGGGCTAAATCCGTAACGTAACGAAAACGGCGTTTAGCTAGGTTTTCCAAAAGGCCAATATTAATGATAATATCCAAATATACCCCCTATATACTATAAATAAACAGTATATAGGGGGTATATTTGGATATTATCATTAATATTGGTTATTTGATAGAATTGCAAGTTCTTGAACCCCAGAAATATATTTTAAGTGAACGAACAAGTCAAAATACCCCTACAGAGTCCCTATCTCCTGCAAAAGTGCCAGGTAAATCGAAACCATTTACAATCACTAGGTCAGGTAGGGAGATGGAACCGAAGAAGTTTTACTGTGGAAAAGATTGGACAAAGTGATAATAACCATTAGTGAAACTGTAAATCAGTGACATTTAGAAAGCATTTAAGATTTTTGCTTGTTAATATTAATAATACATGTATATTTCAATGTCATCATTAAAAGATTATTTTTCATCTTTGATTTACTTGAATGAATTTGTTTTACAGATTAATTTAAAACATGCTAAATGTGCTTTTTGTATTTTCTGACCGAAGGTCAGTAAATACATAGCTGACATTCAATCTCTGACACAGAATTTCCCGACAAACCTAACAACAAGTAGTTCCCAAAACAGCTTAAAACTAGCGATTTAAAAGAAAGAAATATTTTTATTTTGTTACAAGTATCCAACAAATTACAACGCATTCAAAGTTTAAAAGTAGCGTTGTCTTATAGAATTGTCAATAAATGCACAATCACAAATTACGCGGATGAATTTGATTTTAATCAATGAAAATGCTATTTTTAGCGATGTCGATTACCGAATACTACACAAATAAATCTGACTGCCGAGTAGTGGAATATATAGATTCTACATGTCGGACTGTTTGGGCGAGAAGAT